CGGGAGGCCGCGCCCGCGCGCGGGAAAATCAGCCGCCGGTGACCGTTATCCGCTTGGTGTCCACGCGAGACGCCGGAAGGGGAGGGAAGGGAAGGGGACGGACCTCCTTTTCAGAGTGGGGGACAGGGGAATCTTGAAGGGAATGTATCTCAGCGTGTTAGGGGGAAGGATCTGTAGAAAGGACTCTCCCAGAAAGAGTGGCAGGGGGCTTCCCGAATAGGAGAGCTGGACTCTCCCGTGTGCAGGGAAAAAGGGATGACTTGCTTAGTATGTTGAGGGGAGTGGGCTTCTCTGTGTGAAGAAAGCAATGGGGATGATGGGTTCCACAAGTGTGAGGGGGAACTCTGAGGGCTAGGAGAGTCCACCTGTGGTCAGTGCGGCGCCAGCAGCTAGAAATATGAGTTGGGACCACATTAGTGGGGTTTCAAATACAAGTTGAGGGGTTTGAAAGAGAGAGACGTCATAGGGAGAGGAAAGCGTGGGCACAGTAGGCCTGCCTAAGTGGGGGTGGGGAGTGGGGAAGTGCACACGAAATAATTTTGCAAAGCTCTTGTAGATTTTTAGGTTGACATCTAGAGCATTTCATCATGAGTTTAAATGTTTGAGTTTTGTGATGGGAGATAGAAAAAATTAGTAGGAGGAGGACTGACCACATTTGGAATAAATGTTCTGTGAAATGATCTGATAAAATGGCTTCTGAAGCACATTATGAATGTGCCTTGAATCTTTGAATTGGAAGGCTTTAAAAAAAAATTTGTCTTGAAAATTGTTGGTAGCCCCAGAATGTTCCAGGTATATTTAAAAGAATCGTCATCACTCACCTATTACTGTTTGCCTGTTCCTGAATTCCTTTGGGCAAGCTTTACCCTTCACAGAAATGTGGATAGACAGAGAAAGTCAAAATGCAGTGTGAAAACATACTTTGTGGGTTTAAGGCACCCAGACTAATCTTTCAAGGAGGCTTTCTGTAATCTAATATCACTGCACAATCTCTTATTCATAATTTTGAAATCTAAAAAGCCCTAAAAACAAGTTTAGTACCATTCAGTTACAAAAGTAGACCATAAGGTGGGACTATTCAGTGCTACTATCTTGCATCTTTATTTAATGTGAAAATTCAGACTTTTGCTATAGAACTATTAAAGTGTTTGATTATGGCTTGAAGCCCTTAACCACACTGGGGGTGTTAGGTAATGTACGGGATATACCTAGAACTACACTTATAAAAAGAATTCCAAAAAAGATCTGGCCTCAGGGATTTCAGATCAGGGATCGTGGACCAGTCTTTCCCGTTTGTTTGCTGCCCTGGAGGTTTTAACCCCATCCCACATAGGCCCTTGGGGCAGTGCACCCTACTGAGATAGGGGCAGTTCTCTTTCTTTTGCAAGTGTGGAGGAGGAGAATTAGGTCTCTAACTTTAGGTATGTTTTGCAGGCAGGTTTATGAATAGTATTGAGGAAGTTGGAAGTTCTGGGAATAGCTTCCTTTAGGACATTCCATGCACCAGATCCCACTTTAAGATCAGCTGCTCCAGGGGTAGCCTTGGACAGTAAGCATTGGGGTTGTAAGAAGTGGCACATTTTTGTGGTAGAAAGATGTTAGCTTTGAAAAGTCCTGTGGATTAAATTTCACTGACTGAGGCAGTCCTTTGGAAGTCCTAGGGAGGGCTTGGGGTACCCTCTGAACCCTGAATTCACCAGGATGCCAAGTAATTGTTTCTTTCTGGCCCTCTTGTTCTAGGCTGTAGTGTGTGTTGCAAGTCTTCTTGGAATCAGCTACAGGACCTGTGCCGCTTGGCCAAGCTCTCCTGTCCTGCCCTTGGCATCTCCAAGAGGAACTTCTATGACTTTGAAGTCGAGTACCTGTGCGATTACAAGAAGATCCGCGTGAGTCTGGAGTGACCATGGCTGGGGCTGGGGGTGTCTCAAGAAAGCTGGCTTCCTGCCCCCATATCCCTCACTACCTACATCTGTTTCCAGAGGGAATTTTCTCCTCTGATCTTAAAAGTAGGATTAGTAGGCCCTCTTCTCATCTCCATCTTGTGGAGAAACTAAGTGAATTTCTGAGGAAAGCAGGAGCCAGGACGAATTCTCAAATAAGTGTCTCCTCACCTCCCTAAAAATACAAACAAGTTGTAAAGATTGAGCTGCTGAGCCTGCAAGTAGAGATGGGGGAGAGCTCATGGTTATTGAGCACTTTCAGTGTGCCAGGCACTTACTCTCAGAAACTCATTTAATCCCCCCAACAATTCTGTGAAATGGAACTGTAGTCATGGCCAGAGGAGGTAATGGCAGGATAGTTAAGAGAACAGATTGGCCCCAGCATGCTTGGGTTCGAATCTTGGCCATGTAACCCTGGGATACTTACTCACATTCTCTGTACTTCATTTTCCTGATCTGTAGAATGGGGATGCTTAGTAGTTATCTACCTCATATAGAATTGTGAGGATTAAATTCACTAGTAAGACTTCTAAGTTGCTTAGAACAGTACATCCTTAGGTAACGAATGCTAGAAAAATGTTAGCTCCTTTCCCTATTTACATATGAGGAAACTAAGGTCCAGCAAAGTTAAATAACTTGCCCAAGGCCACACAACTAGGGAGTGGCAGGTTCAGAATTTGTACCCAGGATGTCTAACTAGAATCTGTGTAGTTAAACTTTATCCTATAACTCTCTCAGCATGAAAAGATCCCTCTGGCTGCTGTGTGGAGAATAGACTATAGGGGCTAGGGTGGAAGTGGGGGAATCGGTGAGGAGGCTACTGCCACAGTCCAGGGCAGCAATGATGGTTGGATTCTGGATGTAGTCTGAAGGTGGGGCTGACAGTATTTGCTGAGGGTGGATGTGGAGAGTGTGGGGAAAAAAAGGAGTCAAGGATGACTAAGGGTTGGGGCCTGAACAGCTAGCAGGAGGGAGCTGATGTGAGGGAAGGCAGAGCAGGGAGTAGGTTTGAGAGATTAAATTAAAAAGTTATAATTTAGACAGAGTGGGATTTGAACCTAGTGATCCAGATTTTATTGCTTGAGCTTTTTAATCACTGCATGGAGTCAATCCAGAAAAGGGTGGGGAGTGGTTTGGGTGTTATCCATCAGCTTTGGGATGGAATTCCCACAAGGTCTGGCCCAAGTGTCTCACCACTTACGGTGTCCCTATTCCCCTGCCCCCCCTTCCCAACAGGAACAGGAATATTACCTGGTAAAATGGCGTGGATACCCAGAGTCAGAGAGCACCTGGGAGCCACGGCAGAATCTCAAGTGTGTGCGCATTCTCAAGCAGTTCCACAAGGACTTAGAACGCGAGCTACTCCGGCGGCATCACCGGTCAAAGCCACCCCGGCATCTGGACCCAAGCTTGGCCAACTACCTGGTACAGAAGGCCAAGCAGAGGCGGGCGCTGCGACGCTGGGAGCAGGAGCTCAATGCTAAACGCAACCATCTGGGACGCATCACTGTAGAGAATGAGGTGGACCTGGACGGCCCCCCGCGGGCCTTTGTATACATCAATGAGTACCGTGTTGGTGAGGGCATCACCCTTAACCAGGTAGCTGTGGGCTGCGAGTGCCAGGACTGTCTGTGGGCACCTGCTGGAGGCTGCTGCCCCGGGGCATCACTGCACAAGTTTGCCTACAATGACCAGGGCCAGGTGCGGCTGCGAGCTGGGCTGCCCATCTACGAGTGCAACTCCCGCTGCCGCTGTGGCTATGACTGCCCCAACCGCGTGGTACAGAAGGGCATTCGCTACGACCTCTGCATCTTTCGCACAGATGATGGGCGTGGCTGGGGCGTCCGCACGCTGGAGAAGATCCGCAAGAACAGCTTTGTCATGGAGTACGTGGGAGAGGTAGGGAGACAGGACCGTGCATGTGTGTGTAGCTCTTCCCACCATGTGTTTCCAATGTGTGTCCAGCTCTCCTCATGGTGTGTCTGAAACTTCCCTGCTTTCCCTGTGGGAAAGGTGGGGTGGGGGTGTTTAACCCAAGTACTAGGGACATCCTGGCAGCAGAGATCATTGCAAGCTGGTAGTTAAAAGCACGTTGGATTGACTTCACAAGGGTACCTAGGGAAGAAGAGAATGGGAACTGAAATCCAGACAGTGTTCCTTTTAACAGGCAGTGTGGTCTGCACAGGGTTTTGTCACCTGAAAAGGCACTTCCTCTTCTCATTTTACAAGGGTCCAGATTATTGCCAAGCAGTGTCTGCCTGGAAGGAGCACCTTTTACTAATCTGTACAAAAGGAACACAGTCTGCCATAGGACATAGACATGCCTTGCGGAGGTTGGCTGCTTCCTCCTCTAGACATGTAGGACACTGGGGAAAGGCCGGCTATATTAGGCAGGCTAGGCATCATACCAGACAACCTGCAAATCAGTGGTTTTGCACATTAGAAATCTATTTGCTCTTATAACAGTCCAGCATGGGTGTTTGAGTGGTATCCTTCCACACAGTGGCATGGCCAGCTAGGCTTTTCCCTTCTTGTGCCTTTGCCATCCCTGAGAGCCTCGGAGCTGCCTCTAATTTTCAGCTTTGCCTGGCAAGTCGGTCAAGAGTGGGGAGGTTTCTAATGGGCCAGGACTGGATACAGTGCACATCATTTCTGCCCACATCCACTGGCTGGAACTAAGTCACTGGCCTTACCTCTGTGCAGGAGAGAAGTGTGATTTAGCCATGTGCCCAGGTGGAAAACAAGGGGTTTCGGTGAATAACTAGCAAGTGTCTGCAACAGTATCATGTTCTAAGGTGGAAGGCTGTGGGCATTTGGGGTGGAGCAGTTCTTTGTTATAGAGGACCATCTCATGCATTGGGGAACATTTAATATCCCAGGACCTGGACCATTTAAATCCATGAGTGTGCCCTGTCATGGTGACAACCTCAAATTCCTCCATATTTCCACAGGTCTCTTAGGGGTTGCTGTGGTTGAGAAGTGACAGAAATTGGCCTAAGGGACACACTGCTGAGGATGTCCACACTGTAGTAATGACATTGATGAAGAGGAGAGTCTCCCACTCTGATGAACTATGAAGTAGACAGGGTCATAGCCCCGGGGGCAGAGACAGTCTAGAGGCAGAGCTGTCCATACTGCACAGGACCCTGACAATCGATGAGGAGATATCTATACCCCAGATAATCTTGATGGTCTGGTGGAGGAAATGTCTACACGTCAAAGGACCTGTCAGTCTAGGGGGAGGAGGAGGTGGTCACACTTCAGAGGGGTCCTGACAGTCTACAGGAAGAGGTGTCCATGTCCCAGAGTGACCTAGAGAAGGAGAGCAAGCTCTCTATATACCAGAGGACCCCGCTGGTCTGACTTAGGAAGTGTCCACATCTACACTGTCCTGATAGGAAAAAGAAGTGTCTTCACCCCAGGATTGTGACAATCTAAAGGAGATTGAGTCTATGCCCAAGATGACTCTGATAGCCTGGAGGAGTCGTCTACACCTTCAGTGTCCTGACACTCTGGAGGAGGTATATAGATCTCAGAGGGATGGTAATAGTGGGGAGGAGTTGTTAACACCCCAGAGGGATGTAATCAGTCTGGAGGATATGTGCGCACTCCAGAGCCTCTGCCTGGAGGAGGAAGGTGTCCTGACCCCACAGGAACCCGACAGTCCTAGAGGAAGTCCAGGGCAGGTAGTGTCTCTAGCCTCACTCTACTGTACTGATGAGCTCGAGGAAAGGCTGCCTACAACACACAGGATCCTGACAGGTGAGGAGGAGGAAGAGTCTGCAGCCCTCAGGCACCCCAAAGTCCCCTGGGCCGGGTCCTTTTCTGGCTACCCTTCTTTAGTATCCTTATCCTCTATGCTGCAAACATTGGGGTTTCCAGGGCCCTCTTGCTCCCTGTTTTCACTCTTCCCACTCTCCACACGTTCTTTCTGAGCTATTTCTTGGCTTACCTCCTGCCACATTCAGTAACTTCCAAGCCCCCCTCCAACACTCTAAGACCTGTGGAGCCTCCCGATGGCAGCAGAGGCCCCCAAACACTACCAGAGCCAAACTCATCTTCCTACACGCCTTTGTGAGAAGGTAGCATGGCAAAGTGGGCAGGAGGGTGGACCCTGGAGCCTGGCTACCCAAAGTTGAATCCCACGTCCACCACTCATCAGCAGTCACTTCTTCTCATGTCTCAGTTTCCTAATCTGTAGAATGGGAATGATAATAGCACCCACCTCAAACACTTGTTATAAGAATTAAATAAGTTATGTGTGAAGCACTTAAACAGTATTCAGTATACAGTAAGTCTTCAATAAATGTTAGCTATTACATTCCAAAATTCAGAAAACCAAAAGTTTTTTGTAACCCATCTGCCTGTAAAAACTAACTGGACCTGACTTGGGCCTATTTATAGTCTTAGTGTGAATATTCATAAATTTCATTGCAGAAATATTAATTTACTTGATTATGTGGTTCTGTCTCAGACCCTACCTAGTGTTAGGATAATTGAGGGCACACACCCCATACCCGTTCACTATGCTATCCTTCTACAACCTGAACAAGGCATTCACTCTCCTACCTTCACCTCTGCACCAACGATCCCTGCAGGTGAGCTGCCCTTCCTCTCCTTTGTACCTTTCCACCTTCCATCAGAACATCCCCACCCACCCAACAGAGAACAGCTTGTTTTATCCATTCTAAAACATGCATTTTCTTTATATTTTAACAACTCTGAAGTGACAGCGAGTCCTAGTTTAATTAAACGATGGCATATCGTTTAACGAGCAGCAGTTTTTCCTTTCTTGGGAAAGGGCATATAAGAGAACACCTTACATTTTGACAAGATACAGGACTCATAACCCCTCCTAACACTGGTTTGTGTCCTAACTAAAACAAAACCAGAAACACCTTTCATATTCCTGATCTAGGTGAATCTTTACAACAACCTCTGTCAAGCTAGGATTATTGTCATTGTCATCCCCAATCTACAGATAACAGAACTGAGGCCCAGAGCGTGTAGTAAAGTGCTCAGTGTCATCAAGCTAGTCAAGTGGGTAAAAAGAAAGGCCCAAGCGTCTAAAACTGGTACCCTGCTAGACCTGGAGTTTTTTTGTTTGCTGTTTTTGTTTTGTTTTTTGGGTTTTTTTGGCTGAGGAAACAGGCACAGGGAGAGAACATTCAGGATCCCATATCTGGGAGGGGGCAGAGCAGCACCTGGACTTTGAGTCTTCAGGTTCCCATGTCAACACCCTTTCCAAGCTGCCAGCTTATATAGCCCAGTCATTCTGGAGAGTTGCTAGGGAGCACGGAGGGACATGGACTGATTTGTTCTTGAGTTCTCAAGGTGGCCCAACCCTTACAGAGGGAGATTGAAGACAGAGAGAAGGAACGGTTTGTGCCCTGGAGGGCTTGCAGTGTGACTCACTCCTGGTGAGACTAGGGGAACAGGTAGGGGCAGAAGAGGAAGAGGAGACTGGGGAGGTTATGGGGCATTCCCTCTGGCTGAGGAGGGGCTAAAAGGAAAAAGCTGGCTCAGTCACTACCTAATATTCTCCTGAGCCCAGCAGAGACTGCTCTTTGATCCCAGGGCTTCAGAGAGGTTGTTGAGGATCAGGACTGGGAGGTTCAGGAAGGCTGCACAGAGAAGTAACATCTGTTGGAGCTGATGCCACAAGAAGAGTGTGTTCTTTAGAAGGTGGAGGGAAATCTGCCTTGATGTCCTTAAATGCTTCTTTGCCTTCTGTTGTATCCCTCAGGAGAGTCCCTACTCTCCAACCTGGTGTCAAAGCCCTTTTATGATCTGCAGCTTGCTTTAGAGGTGTCTCTATTCCATTGCCCCTTGAACCCTAAGCACTCTTGCACTGTGGGTGTCTGAGTCCATGTCTGTCACCAGATGGAGAGGCAGGACTGGACCTGGTCCCTGTGTCTCCCCAACCTAACTGACCCCTGAAAACAGGGACCTGGCTTGGTCCCTGTGTCTTTAGCGGACAATGACTCCTGAGCCCTGGGACCAGGCACAGGGCAAGCCTCATAAAAATCCAGTGAATGGATGAGTGAACAAATAAAAATTTGGGTATAGGGGAGCCAGATTCCTCAAGGAAGAGCTGGAGTGTAGGGCAGTGAGCATTGTGACCTGAGGGATAAATCTTGGTCTTCTGAAGGTGTTGCTGATAGCATTTGGCAGGGAGCAGAGGCTGAAGGTAATGGTGTAAAAGGTAGGGAGAAGACAGGGCACTGGTGTGGCCATCCTGACTAGAGAAAATGAAGGGTAGTCAAGACTGGAAAGGGACAGATTTGAAAGTAGAAAGAACATGGCCACTGGCTAGCATGAGGGTGAGCAAGGAAGGAGGCCAGTGGGGTGGATCCAGTGTCAGCAGGGGGCTGGTGATGGGCATTGGGTCTCCAATGAAGGGAGAGGGAAGGAAGATGGTCATGGTAAAGGGAAGAGAGTATTTGAGTTTCCTGTAGGATCACTGCTGGAGAGAGGAGAGGTCGCTGGGCTAGGAAGAATAAAAAGATATTTCTTGCAAGTCTGCTGTGTGCTGTACACTGTTGGCACTTGTCTATGAGGGGTGGGCAGAAACCCGAGAGTGGAGAATGAGATATGCCTGGTCTGGAGGGAACCCAGGCTGAGGAGTGGGCAGTCTTGGGTACTGTGAGACCCTCACCCAGGGATGGGCATGATCGGCTATACTTGGGGATTACCAGAAGGCTGTGGTTGTCCCCAGGGGGAAGGGGACATGTGGGATGGAGAGATTGGGCGG